GCAATTATAGCCCAGAGTTTATCTCATTTTATTTTATTTTTATCTTGTAATTTTGCTGTCTATTATCTTAAATAATAGACTCAATTCGATGTGTGCAAATCTGAGTGCTCTTATTTCCTTTCTCTGCTGTAATGTGCGCAACGATGACACTGACATTTCTCCACTGTGAGACTAATAAAGGTTTATCTTATCTTATCTTAGAAGCGTTTACCACTTCAGAGTCAAAGGCGACTAGAAGCAAAAATTCTCTTTTAATTTAGCATATTATGGAACAATATAATGTGTAAAAATATAGATAAATATTTATATGAAGAGAGGAGAAAAAAAAACAATTCACTCAATAAAATAATCATTTTTGCCAATTTTTGATGCTGTTGCCACCACAATCCTGCAGAACTCATCTCTCTTGAACTTTTATATATATTTATATATTTACACGCTAATATGCTTCACAATATGATTTCAACTTTCGATGGAGCGCTGCGGGGGATTTTCCACCTCCAGAAATGTGCGTTTAGTGTCCAAATAAGTTTTAGTCGAGTCACAAGCTGCACCCTCTTTTTATAGGATAATAGATTATATACAAAATGGAAAACGAATCAAATGGCATTCCTTCAATAAATTATGCATTAAAAAGCATTATGCGACTTTGGGCCAGCATTATTGTTATGCAAAGTGACCCAAGGGATTTGAATACATGTTTTGGTAACCTTTGCTATTCCGTTATGTGGGCGGTTAGCCTCGCCACCACCCTTCTCATCCTGTTTTTCTTGCCGTCATCTTGTTAAAAAAAACCTTCGCGATGACCTTGATGGCATATGCAAATCCTTGTTGAATACATGTCACATTTTTATTTTGCCTTGTCCCATCGCGAGTTCCACATTTCTCACATTTGGCACTAAAGAAATCCCTTCAGTGAGGCAATATTCAGCAGTAGGTAAAGTGTCTCGAGGATCAGGAAGAACACACGGATGTTGTTAGATCAGATCTCCAGACGGCGGTAAACACAGATTTTCGAGCGTTCCCTGTGGATTTCAGAACCTGGCTTTTGGTGGCCCATCGCAGGATTTGTCAGAAAGCTGGTCCATTATCCAGGCTCTGTGGGTGTCGGCAAAAGGTGAATCTAGCTCTCTGAAGCTAAAGAAGAGCCAGGGCGCTTTGTTTAGGGTCCCGCTGTCCCCCTTGGGGAAAAAAGAAAAAAAAAATGTTATAATATGCCTGCATGTATGGTTGTGAAGTAGCTGTGTGCAAATTACATCACTGTAAGGTATAAGTATGGGTAATGCATTTGAACTCATAAAAACTAAAACATAAAAATCCTACTGTGCAGGATATAGTTATGTACAATAAAAAAGTGGCAGTAGCAGTGCTGTTTTTTCAGTCCTAGTGCGTGACTTAAAGTGACTTATTGTACAGTACAATCTGACAGTGGTGGATACTGTACACAGACAGTAGATACTATACATAGACAGTATCTACTACAAGACAAAGACGATATAGACGACTATATAGACTACATAACATACTATAGACTATTCTACATACCACTATACACAAATACAAGACATACATACTGTTTTGAATTTCTAAGGAGTGAAATACACAATATTAAATATAAAATAAACAACAAGAGCTGTAATTCAAATCAAAGTGTGGTTTATTATCTCAGTAAATGTATACATATACAGGAAATACAACCGTGTAACCGCGTGGCAGGTCCCGGGTAGATCTGCTGAATAGTGCTTACTCTCTCTCATATTTATAGGATGGAACAAACAGAAGAGTCTATCTATGGCGTCTCTGAGTCCGAGATTAAGTGGTAGCCGTAGCCCAAACCCCCCTCTCTTCTGATATTACTCTGATATTAGGAAGAATGGTCAGTATGACCGGTGAGCATGCTCTTCTTGCCCCTGATATCAAGCTAGTATCTGCCTCCACCCCGTCATTGGCCTCGCGTCTCTACAGAACAACAGTTTAGTTAGCTTGAACAGATTGACTAGCTTTGAACTTTGTCCCAGATATCCTAATTCATCATTAGATTCATTCTTAAGTTAAATTGATTTATAATCCCAGTTAGATTTCTACAACAATACTATACATACAAATAAATCTAAACAAAATCAGACAGAGCTATACCGGGGGACAGCATCACTGCCTCACTATACTACTCTAAATTATCACAATTGTACACACGTACAAGTGGTTCAGTAAGCAATATTTTATTCAGTCATGAGTGATGTTTGGAACCTGCCATAGTTGCCTTGAGGCTTGGTGATGGACATGTGGCAGTCAATCTGTTGCCACAACCTCTACAACCACCAGTAAATTACACATTTATAAAACCACTATTTGGGAAAGAAATAAAGAATATATACAGAGTGAAGTATTGAAGGCTTTAACTTGATGTATAAAGCCTATTTAGTGGATGAATGTCATGCAAAGTTGTTCTGTCTTTACTTGCTTGATGAATGTGCCATCATTTATCAAGCAATAACAGATAAAAGGCACAACTGGACAATTTTGAGACAAGTTATCTGTGATTTGAGTGGGAAATGTGCTATTTTCACAGGTTTTTTTTACACTTTTTTCTTCTTATTTGGACCCATCCTTCAATGGCTGTCTTTTGAATCTCATAACTGTTTGTTGTTTTCTTTTGTCTTGTCTGTCTGTAGGTTTTAAATTGGAACCATAGTCTGTAATAAAGTTGAATTGATTCTGTTAGGAGCCGCGGCCACATTGAGCTGCAGCATTTTACATGTCTTTAGTGGTAGGTGAAACCAGAGCACCTGGAGCAAACCTGCGCAGACACAGATAGAACATACAAACTTCAAAAAGATTCTGACCGAGGTTCGAACCCAGCAACCCAGAAGCGCGAGAAGCAAGAGTTAGTTCACATCGGGTATCAGTAGATATTTAACGGCAAGATCGGTATCCCTATAGTCAGAACCACTGGCTGTTCAATGGCTTCTCTCTTCCTTCTGAAAAAAACACATTTACATGAACAACAAAAATCAATATTCTGATTGATGTTACCGCTAGGTCCACAGACACAGTATAAGATTAACGTTGACACATGAAGACCGCGGTTATACTCACAGCTTGCATTTTTAGATGTGAGGTGCATGTAAACACAATGGTAATATCCACCTATCATTTCCCATTACTTCTCTATCTTATTTCTCGGACCCAGTATGCACTAAATGTTCAGACAGCTAACACACAAATTCAGCTTTCCTGTACATAGTGTTTGCGCTAATAACATCTGAGAAAAGTATTTATGCAGTCCGCCGCACATAAGATTGAAGTTATTTTTCTCTATTAAAATACAAATAAACAGCTTAATAATCAGAGCCTACCTTCCTAAAGCCTTTATCTGAAGGTGACATTGCAGAGCTGTCGCCGTCATTATCTCCAAACTCTGAGCAGAAATACATTAAAAAGTTTCTTACATTCATTCCCATCATTTAAAGTCGACTTTTTTATTACTTGGAGGAATATTTTTTTCTATTAAAATACTAATCAATTCTCCCTCCTTTGAGGCTTGTAAAAAAAAGAGGAAAGATGTGATATTGTAGCTTCAGTTTCAACACTTTATTGCCCCCAGAAATATTACCCATCTCTTCTGGGTTCTGTTTTCTCCATGGATTGTGTTCTATGTTCTCGCTCATGTGCCAATGTAAAGATATGTCATTGTATAGTAGCCAAATATGAGAAAAAATTTAGTTACTTCGCAGTGGTCCAATAGGAGGTGTTGTTCTGGGGGCACTGGTTGATTCAGCGCTTGTTTTGTCAGGCCTTTGCAATGCACATTTAATTCATATTGATAAGATAAGAGTATGGTATGGTATGGTATGTATTTGAGCAGGGACAGTGTACAATTAAACATTAAGACAAAGTAGAGATGTATTGTATCAGGCTATAGCAAAGATGCTAATTTCCACCTGTAGTCCCTGGGCAGGCTGAGGATATATTCATTTAAACAGATTCTAATGTAGATAGATACATACATAACCGTGTCTTACATTTACAGACTTTAAAAATGATGATGCAGTGTTGTATGGTACTATATAATGTTGTTTATTTTATTGTGAGGGCCCGCCAAAATAAAATTAAACTCACTTATGGCAGAAAAAGTATCAGTGACTGAACCTGAGTAGTACCATTACATTTGCAAATATATTAGAAAGATAGATATTTTGCTGAATTCACTTTTTGAACTTTGCACCGAGTGTTCAACATTGGTCCCTCATCTAAAACCGATCGAGAGTTATTTTTATCTACATCCATGGTTATATCAAGAACTTGTAACTCCACCCCGTCTGTCTAAAAGCTCCTGTCTCAGTCCTGTAAAGTTATGATGTCACTGTACCACTATGATATCACGCACAGAGAAATGTTCTGCCTTTCAAAACAAAAGTATTGCCCTTTAATTACTTCAGGTATTTTCTCAGGTGAAATGGTGTTTTCTATTCAACTCCTCTCTGGTGGTGGCCTTTTACCATATACAGTATATTATCTACTCAAGATATTTTTTGACCATCTCAAACCTGAAATGATGAATTAAATAGTCTCAGTAAGTGAATTTATCATCCGTTTTCCATTTTTCCTTGATTATAGTGCTGCTTGACTCAGGTGCAGAGCGGAACAGTGTTGTAATGACTGATGAATGGCTCAATGATGGTATGGTGGTCTATGTAGGGTGCAGCTGGGAGCCCATAGTTTCAGACAGACCAAATTTAGTCTGGCCCAGCGGTCGTTGGTAATTGAATGATTCGCAGCGCTCCTAACTCGGTTATGACGCTTTCCCGCTCAATTTAACCAGGGCGCGCTCATCAATACTGCCCTGTTGGCCCCTCCAACAGGCAGTGAGTGTGCATTGAGCTGCGGCGGCCGTCTGCTCTGCTGCAGTCCTGTTTGGGACCCTTTGGAAGGCTTTCCGCATCATGTGACTTGATGGTGCATTTGTGTTATCCTTAAATGTCTTCTTCGTTTTTCCGCAGTTCCTCGAGGTGTGATCCAAAATGGAGCCCGAGTAAGAAGCCAGGCACTGTTCCCTGTGATCAGACCTCTGCCCATCAGCCCAGTGGGCAGCAGGACCTCTGCCATCAGGTGGGTCAGCTCCTCCCCAGGAGATCAGGGCATGAGTATGAGAATCATAGACACATTTATGATGATGAGACCACAGCTGTGAAATACCACACAGACTACGTCCCAGACACCACTGTGGAGACCACACTGGCGTGTCAGCCTGTTGTTTGTCCTCAGGTGTACGGCGCACGTTACAGAAGATCGTTGTTTAAACATCTTTCCAAGAACCAAAACAAACAGACATTCTTGCACTTGTTACAACCTTACTAACAGTTTAATTGTAGCTTTTATTTGTTTATAAGACGTCATTCAGGTGTGTTTATATAACCTTCTCAGGTTTTTATTATAGGGAGAGGCTCATGATTCAAACAACTTTCCGAACATGTGAGGACATGCACATCCATCATAAGGAACACCACTATGGTCGGCTCCACATAATGAATTAAACATACTCAAAGACTCTCTAAAGGTATGCAGTGAATATTTGATCACCATAAGAGGTGCACGTTTTGCTTATAAGATATTAATATGCAAACTCTGTACTTGGAGAAATGTCCAGGGGACAGAGCGGCTGCTGAAGCAGCTTTGATTTATAGGTTGTCAGAAGTAACCTGTCCTGTTCGGCTTTACTCAGAGAAGTGTCGGCTGCTAATAGAGCTGAGTCCTGAGGATCTGTGATAATGTAGGCCAGTGTGAGCTGGACAGTGGTTAAATGGCTTCACTGCACACTCATTCTGACTTTAAAGCAAGGTCCTGTTTGTGCTGAGACAGTCACACCACTCAAAGAGCGTGACGCTGCCCACCATGCACGGTGTCACTGAGAAATGCAGAGGTGGCACTAATGAAATGAGTCTGCGCTTTTCCAAAAGGTTTTAATCTGAGCGCAAATATGAGCAGGGCCACGGGGGGTGTTTTAGGCTGATAGATTATCACTGGAGCAGCCAAATGCGCACTGACATGAAGTGGAGCGTGCACAGGCCACCTGGTCGCTTTTACAGCACTATATAAGAGAGCTGAGCATACAATTAGAGATCTTTACAGCTGGAACACCTTAGGCCTGGGACCCACATGTGCACAAAACACATGTGCATGCATTTACATCACAACATATCAAAACATATCCATCTACCAATAGTGCAATTTTTTGCATAGGCTCAACATAAGTGCAACATTGCAGTGGACATTGAATGTTGTATTCATGTTCTGAGTTGTTAAAGAAAACACTCAAACGCCTCACTGACTACACACATACACATTGAAATATTGGAGGGTCTTGGTAAGACATTAGTTAGAAGTAATGTTATAGGTCTTTGTTACGTTCCCCTTGGCTCAAGGGGAGGCAACAAAAAGGAGGGAGAACACGGCAAAGACTTTTGATGGCTCACTGGCCGTTTTATTTAAACAATAATGTGGAATCAGTGTAAATGGTCTGGGATGTGCTGGGGTCAGTGTGATAACCTTATGTGTAAATGGTGCAAGTGTAAAAGTGTGGAGTGGCGTGGCTGGCGGCGTGGAGTGCAGGCCCAGACCCTGTGGACAGGTCCAGGTGTCTGCAATTGGAGAGAGCGAGAGTGCTGCCTGGGACGCCCCTCTTAAAGTCCCAGCGCAGACACTCAACCAATCCTAACCTGCACACAGAAAAGGTCAGAGTGAGGGGAGGAGTGCGCGCAATCCCATAGCTGGGCGCGTAACAGTCTTATAATAACAGACTTTCACAGATCTAGCGTTTGTTGACACTATGCCTGAGGTGCAGCTCACTTTTGAGTCCTCTACTTTCAAATGATATTATTTTGTAATTTTCCATGAATCATTGTTCAAGGTATCACCCAATGCACACTGTCCCACCTGCTTAACTATCATCTTCCCTCTACTCTACACATGTGCCTCTTCTAATCAGCCATATTGGCACTTCCACTCACCTGAGCTGATAAAAAGCCCACTTGCTTCATTTAGCTCGTGCAGCAACCACCCCATCCCATTGTTGCTTCCTCTTCATGTCATCAGGACACACTGCTTATTCCCTCCTCCATGTATCTTGCAATGTTTCTGAAGGGTTCTAAGTGGAAAAAGCAAATCCAACATTCCAAGTACCACTTGAACACAAAAAAACATGATTCGTACACATACTCTTGTCTATCTGAGTATTTCCAGATTTCAATATTGCTCATGAATGGCGTACATTGTACTTAGCTAACCCCTGTTCTGTGTCCTCTCTCACAACATCTGCTTATGCATGTGCCACAGATCATCCCTGGGAGAATACCTGAGCCGAGGCCAGGACAGCCCGCTGAGATACTCCCCTCCCCCCTGCGCCGAGGACCTCCAGGAAGACCACACCTACAGCACAGCCCCCGCCGAGCCCGAAGCTACTTCCTCCCCGCTATCCGACGACATCATCGCCGTAGAGATCCAAGAGGACATAAAACAGGAGCCCCGCGAGGTTCCCCTGGATTCACACATCACGAGCACGGCCCACATGGCCCAGAATGCATTGCGCGGACAGAGACGCCACAGTAGCACAGGCCCCTTAGCGATAGCAGCAGCGGGAGCCGGGACGCTAGCTGGGAGCAGTTTAACCTGGACCAAAAACAGAGCGCGGGGCATTAGCGACACGTTGCCCCTGAAGAAGAGACGCGCAGCCGCTGCTCTGGAGAAACCGGAGAGCGACGACGAGGAGATGAAGGAGGCGGCCGGCTCTCTGCTGCATCTGGCCGGAGTCCGTGCGTGCCTCAACAACATCACAAACCGAGCGGCGAAAGGCCAGAAGGAGCAGAAAGAGCAGAAAGAGACTCTTAGAAACTAACTCACGCACCGGTCACTATACAGCAGCACCTGTGACGCTCCAGTGTGGGATGTTTGCAGGAGTTTGGCCATACACGGGAATTTAAATCTAACAACACACATGGATTTATGACATTTTATGGAATTCATTTTGCATTAATTAGCGGCCATGTTGATTTATATTATTGTTCCTCATTTAGACCTATATTACACATCAAAATTTGGTTTTAAGTGCAGAAATGTGGACCAGATTACAGAAACACACAAGGCACACAACATCCTTAAAAACATTGACGCGCACAAAGCTTAGCAATGTCTATCTGCGTCCACTATTATGTGTTATATTTCCAGATAAGCCAAGTCTTTTTTACACAAAAGTACTTTCAGAATATTTTTCAAGAACTACTGGCCCATCAATGGCTTGTAGAAAAACATCCAGAGAAACAAAAATCTAGTCACATACTATTTTCTATTTACTTGATGACAGCAGGAAGAATGTTTTGCTTGTCTTTAAGTACAAATGAAAGTGGCACCTCTTCCATTAGCGGAATGGCCCTGTCTCTTTAGAAAACAATAAGTGGTTGACAAGGTCTACACTAATAATTGTTTACAAATTTAAGCTTGAACTTTTGTGGACAAAATTCATATTATTTAGGATTTGGATTCAATGCAGTGGCTGCTACTCAAACTATCTGAGCTTTGTAGTAGGATGTATCAATGCAACAGGTCTAGTCTATTTGGAACAGGAACTTTCGTACACTTCCAGACTGCAGGACTTTTTTACATGATTTAGAAAATGCCATTCCTAGTATATTGTGTAATGCAAATTGAATTCTCAAATCTAATTACCCAGCATTCCCATAATACACCAACAAACAGTCCAAACGGTACTTTTTGCGGCACAACATCCCACCCTGGAGCTTCACGAGGGTCTGTCAGCAGCATAATGATAGGTCAACAGGTAATCGCATTATTCTACGGACACTTCTCATCTCCCTCTAACTTTATCTGCAGGGCATTAGGTGAATCCTACTTATTTGTGGCAATATCAAAAATCTATGTTTTCCTACATGTTCAACAACTCTTAACATCAATGGATACTTCTCATTCGTCTTTGTTGTTTTTGTTGATCTAAATGGGGATGAAAGCCATACAAAAGTGGTCACTAATTTGGACTAAAGCGAGTAATATGAACAGAACATGGCTGTTTTGTCTTATCTGTTTCTGTATGTTGATCTGTAGCAATCTTGCGGTGACGCCGGCGAGACGAGCATCTGTGATTTGAATGTCTATATGTTCTTTTCCACGTTATATTCGTCCTCCGATCAGAATTCGTCTTCGTATCGCTCGCGCTTGTCGGCTCATTCGCTTACTCCTACTACACCATGAGCACAATTACGAGACTGTGCCAAAGATACGCGACCAGGTTGCTTCATGTAGCCAATTTTTGAAAAAATAAAAGAAGAACGAGCGAAAGGCATAGTAGAACAAAGCTGGGAACCTTAAGTGTCAAAATAATTGTAAAACCCCTATATGATATTATCTTCATGCACTTACAATGATTTTCTGCCATTTCTTAACTTCATGGACCCTTTCACAGTTCGGACAAGTTGTGTGCGTGTGTGTGTGTGTGTGCGCGCGCTTGTTTTCAGTGGATTTTGACTCATCTATCTTAAAGGAGAAGTCAAGCCACTTAAATTGTCTTTCAGTTTTAAACTAATTTCAATTTCTAGTATGTACAATAATATAATTCAAATAGTCCCTCCCCTTGGCATAACTTCAAACCAATGACAAGGGGCCTTAAATCTTTTCAACCGGGTCTAACCTGGGGTTGTCTTCAAAAGGTTTTACTTGTGAAATTTTGAAGAGTAAAATTGCAGCTTTTATGATGACTGCAATTTGAAGGTGTCATAGAAAGTCTTAAGCACCAGCATAACGTATTTAACGCACAATCCTTTTTAAAGTGAGAATGTATGACACTCATTGTTATGTATGTTTAGTCTATGTAGAAAGTATGTTTAGAAAAAATATATACAATTCCGACTGCTCTTTATGTCTGCAGAAAGGTGGGCACATCAAAGTCTTTTCTGGTGAATTTCGCGATCAACGGATTAAATTGGCATGCTGTGTAAATAATTGGGCAACGCAACAGGGTGCCAAGTTGAGAAAAGTCCAAGTATCATAACTTTTATCAGTCAATCAAAATGTTATTTCAAAATCAGTTCAACGAGATTTTACAGAAATAACACAAAGACAATGATTTGGAACAAAAATGTCAAAAAGAACCATGCAAAAGCAAGACCGCAAAACAATACAATACAATCTCTCTGGTATCAGACAAGACAACACACACACACACACACACACAGATTCAGAGCAGGCCCAAACACTCTCTGACCCTACAGTTCTCTCTCTCTGGTATCAGACAAGACAACACACACACACACACACACACACATTCAGAGCAGGCCCAAACACTCTCTGACCCTACAGTTCTCTCTCTCTGGTATCAGACAAGACAACACACACACACACACACACATTCAGAGCAGGCCCAAACACTCTCTGACCCTACAGTTCTCTCTCTCTGGTATCAGACAAGACAACACACACACACACACACACATTCAGAGCAGGCCCAAACACTCTCTGACCCTACAGTTCTCTCTCTCTGGTATCAGACAAGACAACACACACACACACACACACACACATTCAGAGCAGGCCCAAACACTCTCTGACCCTACAGTTCTCTCTCTCTGGTATCAGACAAGACAACACACACACACACACACACACATTCAGAGCAGGCCCAAACACTCTCTGACCCTACAGTTCTCTCTCTCTGGTATCAGACAAGACAACACACACACACACACACACATTCAGAGCAGGCCCAAACACTCTCTGACCCTACAGTTCTCTCTCTCTGGTATCAGACAAGACAACACACACACACACACACAGATTCAGAGCAGGCCCAAACACTCTCTGACCCTACAGTTCGCTCTCTCTGGTATCAGACAAGACAACACACACACACACACACACACATTCAGAGCAGGCCCAAACACTCTCTGACCCTACAGTTCTCTCTCTCTGGTATCAGACAAGACAACACACACACACACACACAGATTCAGAGCAGGCCCAAACACTCTCTGACCCTACAGTTCTCTTGTGGTGTGTGGATTGTTGCCATTTGTAAAAGGGTCCATGAAAGCATCCATTGTTTATTTCAAGAGCACTCATAGTATTTAAGAAAATATATAATAAAAAACTCATGTTAGCGATAGCATAGTGCCGGGTGTGAGGCAATATCGGCTTCATTTTCTTCTTCTCCTTGCTCAGTGTCAAATCCAGACATAACGTATAATACTGTAGCTTCCACACCTCCAGGTCATTTTAACAGAGAATATCTACATGGCTTTCCGTTGTCTGTTCTCCTCACTCTACTCTCATAAAGATATAAGCAATTTGTCCAATGTGGGCAACTCTGTAAAAAGTTTAGAAAATATTTTATTTTTTCCTTTCTTAATTGAAGCAATTTGACCTGCAGGACTTTCTCAGTTATATTGCATGGGTGCTTGTAAATAAGATAAAAAGCAAATCTTTTTTATTCAAAGATCATGTAAGATAAACAATGTATTTAGCATGAAGCATGACTTATTTTCATATAAACTTTGATCCTAGAGGAAAAACCGCCAGTTCTTATACGCGTGATTATAATGGAGTTTTTCTTCTTTGAATCTTTAATGTTTTTTAAGTTTTTTTCCCTGAGCGGTGACTGGAGTTTTCAGGGAGGAGCTATGGGGGTCTGCAGCCGGAGGGCCGTGGGTGACGTGACAGAGACGCAAGCATTGGTTTGATTTGATTTTTGAAGTACGTAGCATTTTGGTTTTTTCTCCATAGTAAAATTTCCTCCGGATAACTTCCAATCACTGGTGCACTACCAAAGATCCTCAACAACACTTCCATAAATGTCCATCTGCTAAAAGATGATCATGAGGCAGTGGAAAGTAAAAAAAAAAAAAAAGGTATTAACAACATGTTTTCATGGCTTCCCTTAGACTTAGAAAAGCAGTCCTCAAAAGCTAAAGTAATGGGCTTCCAGTTTTTAACTTTTCATATATATCACATTGTGCATAATTTTTTTACAGTAAAATCCCTTTGTTGTTTAGGGTCATAACTAAAGTATGAAAGCTCCAAAAAAGGCTTTTGATTTTATATTGAAGTTTTACGAGACTTTAATTAGACAAATGCCCCTCATCTAGTGCCAAACAGTGTAGTTATGTCCAAACGGAATGAGTTATTACGTATTGGATGTAATCTGAATCCAGAACTTTTTTTAAGTAGTGAAATGCACCTATCCGCGCTCTACAAGTGCTTTTACTGTTTATCGAGTCTGAACCTTCTTAACAATGTGTTCAAAAAGACATAGTTATCGGTATGCAAATTAAAACTCAATATATTTGTCCAAAAACTCAAAAAATGTTTCATGTTGACCAAATCTCTTTTGTGACGTCACCTGAAACCAAACCCCAGGCAATAAGACAAATGATGAATGATTGAGCATTATTCTCATCGCAAACATGTAATTGCCTAAATAAAGTTTGTAATCTTTGTCTACACAGCCCATTTCAGGGACACTTCCACTTTCTTACCCTTACGTTATGCTTTCCTGCCCGCGTCGCCCAGGGTCCTCCACTGTCCAGCTCATTCACCTCACTAAAGTGGTGGACTTCCGTCTTCTTCTGCCCGTACCGTGGACTTTAGATGTTTCAGTGTTTTTTGACCCCAGTGTTCCGGAAATCACGTGTGCGTTTCCAAAAGTGTGCGTCCAATACCACACAGACCCTTTAACATGGTGCCTGCCTGCCTGCCCGCCATTCCTGTCCGCCATTTTGAGTTTTATCGCTGTGCGTGAAAAGTTAGTGTCTTTTTCCCTTCCTCCATTGACATTGTTCTGTGTCAAAAATGTGCATTGAACGGACGTGGGAAAGTAACCTCTCCATATAATCG